TTGCTCCCCCTTAAAAAATACCATCTAACTCCTTCCCATCTAGGTTGGGTTGACCCTGGCTGGATGTCAGCTGCTCACCCAAGCCATTCTGTCACTCCCCTCCTCTGACGGCCTGGGGAGAAAAAACATAATGAAAGGCTTCTGGGTTGAGATAAGGACAAGGAGAGATTGTTCACCTATTAATTACTGTCATGGACAAAACAGACTCAGCTTGGGTAAAATAAATTTCTTACCAACCAGGACTAGGGAAATGAGAAATTAAAAACAAATCTTTAAAAACCCCACCTTCTCTCAGCCCTTCCTCATGGTGCTACATTCTTCAGGGATGAATCCTTCAGGCACAGCCTGCTCTAGCCTGGTACCCTCATGGGGCCACAAAACCTGCCAGGAAAGCTGCTCTAGTGGGAGCTCCTCCCTCCATGGGGCCACAGGTCCTGCCAGGACCCGGCTCCAGTGTGGAATTCCCATGGGCTTGCAGCCACCTTTGGGCATCCATTTGTTCCAGTGTGGGCTCCTCAAGGGGTTGCAGGTGGAGCTATGCTCTACCTTGGATCTCGTTGGGCTGCAGGGGCACAGCTGCTTCACCATGGTCTGCACCACAGGCTGCAGGGGGACCTCAGCTCCAGCATGTGGAGCACCTCCTGCCCTCCTTCTTCACAGCCTCAATCCTCTTTTCTCTGGCTGTTCCTGCTGTTGCTTGGTATAGCTTTTTTCCTTTATTAAATCCGTTATCCCAGATGTGCTATCATCATCAGCCTTGTCCAGCAGGAAGTCCATCTTGGAGCTGGCTGGCACAGTCTCTGTCAGATATGTTGGGAAGTTCCTGGCATCTTCTCACAGAATCCACCCCCACCCTCCTCCTGCTACCAAAAACTTGCCATAGGCTTTCCTATGAAAAAATGCCTCATACAAAGGTTTGTGGTGTTTGCTTTCTCTGTTTTTTATGAAAGACTGGCATTATAAAGATGAGTATCCCTTAGCTATAGAAAATGAAAGTTATGTAGCTCTGAAGAAACAGGACCAGGATAGAGTGTGTAACTGTCAGCTTGAAATACTAAACAGCACTGGGGTACTTCCAGTACAGATTCACTGCATCTCAGTAACAGATCACATTGTTCTGCAGTATCACTTCCATGACTGGAAATTATCATCACCAAGAACAACTCAGGTTCTGTAAAAACATCGAGTTAAAACAGATATTATACCTGAAATAAAACTCAAGGTCACACTGTAAACACACATTAGTGCACCACATATACTCCACATTTGCTGCCCAAATACCGATTTTCTTATGTTTATACATTATGATTTAAATGTCACAGTAATGACACTGTAGTCATAGAAATAGTCAACAGGCCAAGTCTGTTTTAATTACAATTACAGATTAGAGTCTAATTCCTAGTCCTTCCTTTCACATCCTTTTATTCCCATGCCAAAGAAAATGCGTAGTGAGGCATTTATGTTGGTATATATTATCCTCCGGATTACATGTCTAGCCTAATAAATTCATTAACAAGACAAGTAGTACAAATGTTGGCTCTGCATCTCTTTCACTAAAGCTCATTATTTCCTTTTCTTCCTTACTTAATTTGTCTGTGTTGGAATGCATTCAGCATTTTTGCTGTTTTCAGACACCAATAAAATGGTGGGCTGGACACGTACACCAGTGCTGACAGCCAGGAGCAGTACTATTGCTCTGCTTATGCATCCTTCCTGAATGGGAAAACTGGGTCACCTGATAGTCCAGATTCTCCACGTGACAAGCACAGGGCAGGATGGGTGGAAGAAGGCCAGCATAGTGCTTCTTCAGCAGAACAAATAAAGAAGAAACCAATATGTGCAAATATACACGTGCTTCAAAATTGTGAAATAAATTACAAGGGGAATCTCTCAGAAGTGAGGAAAAGAATGAAGAGGAAAAAAGAAACAGTAAATCTAAGCTTTACTAAGGAAAATAAAACCAAACCAACATACAAACAAAGAAAACCACCAAAGAGACCCCCAATAAACCATGTGAGAGTAAATGCCTATAATCTAAGTTTCAGCCAAAATAAAACTTTTTGTTTTGCCATAAACTAGGTTCAGCCACTTTCCTCACAGAAAGGTTGTGTATCATGCCTTGGGTCCAGCAATGGCAGACCTACCCATGTAAAGAGCAGTGATGATGAGGATTTTACCCACCCCTGTACTCTAATTACTTAACTGTGATCCAGGCATCAGTATGGCAACACTGCTGAATGCAAAGCCAAAATCCAGAGATAATACTATTCAAAAGTTAAGACACTTATATTTTGACTGTTCTTTTCTTTGGAAACAATGGAAAATATTCCTTCTTCTTTAGAGATCTGCAAAAGTCCCAGGAAAACCCAAGAAAACCAGCCCAAATTCAGTGTTGATCCTGTTGTGAGCAAGAGGCTGGACTAGAGGATCTTCCAGCCTCACCAATCCAATGACTGATTTTTGTGAACTGCCTTTCTACAACCCTGAATAGCCTTTAAAACTGCTTTCAGAACAGCAGAAACATCTAGAATTCATTGGAAAATCAGCACTTCATGAAGTGGCAGCTATGTCTGTACACTGCCCAATTCCTCATCTAGCAACCCAGTGGCTGATGCTGCCTCACACCGTGCCACATCCGCCCCCTCTTCTCTACCACCTTGGAAGAACGAGGTGCCTTCTTCCAAACTCGTTAAATGACAGGCATCATTCCAGCCAATTCAGTTAAAATACCACAAAGTTGCATGTTGATTAAAATCACACACTTCAATGATGTTTAATGGGCTGGTGGATTATTTTTATAAATCTATGGCAGATCAAACAACTACAATTACACCCAAATGGGTACATGTGTACATACATACATAAAGCCAGTTTAAATAAATACAAATTTTCAAATATATCATCAATTTATATGTACAGAAGGCTGTAGTTTGGCCCTCTGGGATACTAACATTCTCCTTTATTAACTTTTTAACCACATGAGGACTCTATTTTATATGCAAGCACTAATACATGAATCTATAAATACTACCAATATTTTATTTTCTACAAAGTATTTATAAACTACATCAAGTCAGGACAGCCTTGGGTAGACAGGGCATGTCACTGAAGTACACAACTCAGACTTTAAAAATAATCCCCATTCATTTCAGAAACAGTACATTTAAGAAATACTTGACCTGTGCACCCACAGACTCCATAAATAGTTTTGTGGATAATAAATTATCCACAAAATAAGTTAATACTAAATAATTAGTATTGTGCAACCAAACTCACAATACCTACAGGTTTCAAAGTGCTTAGCAAGACAATAGAAGATTATGGTTCCCATTTCACAATGGGAACAGCTGAAACAGAAAACTCAGGTGGCTTGTCTGAAAACTTACTGAAAATCATTGTCACAAATGTGGAAAAATGCTTGAGAATCCCAACTCTCAAGCCAATCTTGAGCCACGAATGACTTCACTGTGACTAAATCTATAAACAAAATCTGAGACTAAAAAACAACTTGGTTCTTTCAGCTCAAATAAGGAACAAAGATTTCTCATTGATATATGGTCATTACTACAGCAATCTGTAGGTCAGTAAGACCAGATACAGATATCCCAAAGTCACTCATGGGGAAAGGTCCCTTAATAAAAGACAGATGGCTAGAAAGAAGACAATGGCATGGAGAAAGCTAAACCCCGAGATCCACTGGAACCACCAAAACTGAACTTGTGGCAGAGCAGCACTCTAGGGAAACCCCCAAAATGCCATTTCTGAGTTGCAGAAGTTTCTGCAGAGACCACTGCACTTGCAAACACTTCCCTCATGCTGGAGTGCGGGAAGCCCAGCGGTGAGGAGGCTCCTGAGCCATTCCACTGCTGGGAGCCTGGCAGGGCCATGGCAAGCAGGGGCTGTAGGAGAACTCTAGCTCCACAGCTGAACAGGGCCAATTCAGGCACCTGTCAGCCTGGGATCACGGTAGTGCACAGCCACAAGACTTGCAAACAAACCACTTAATGCAGGGTCTTCTGTAATATGGCTATTCTTATGATTACTGCTCAACTTTGTGTGTTCAACATTCAACAAAGCACCACACTGCTGAACACCAACTGGAAACAGCTCTGTGTGTAGGGATACTGTCTCAAGAGGACTGGGATTTCACATAAAGATATTCCCAGAGGCAGATAGAAATGAAGATTGACCTCTTTTGGCACAAATACCTCCCCCACGTGGCTGCAGAGACTGCCCTTAGGGCAGGCATGCATCCTGCCTTTGGAGAAAACACAACTGTGTGCACTCAACAGTGCACAACTATTTCAACCAACTTTCACTGCTAGTGAAACCCACAGTGTTGGCACAGCACCTGACCACATGCTTTGTAGAAGGAAAAGCAACACCCAGGTTAGCTGGGAGAAGAGAACAATGGTACACACAATGCAGTATACAGGGATCTTCTTTCCCTTATATCATCCAGTCATATCCACATTGCAAAGATCTATGCAGCTCCCACAGATGAGAAGTGTGGAACTTCAGGTGGGGTCACATGGCTCATTTGGTGTTCCTGCTGATCTCTTGGTTTTTGCTGTGAGATGGGCACTTTCAGTTTTCCTGAGGTAGCAGATACAGAGGTCTTCCCTTTATTCCTTTAATAAAAGCAAAAGTGAAGGAAAGGAGAGGCAGACAGAAGTGCTGAAGTTTCTCATAAAAGATACAAACACACTTGAAGTAAAATACATTTCTGAAATACTCCACAGGGACAGAGAGCACAAGAGCCTCCAAAGGCAAACTTCACCATCTCAGAATCACCCTGAAGATAATTACAGTTTAATGTGGCAAAACAGTTAATCAGCGAGAAATTACTTTACATAAATAACTAGCCAGGCACCTGGCTCTGCAGGGCCCAGGGCGTTATCCAGAATGGACTTTTTCCTCCCTGCCATCCTGCAGCAGGTCAAGGCAGCAGGACTGCAGGTGCTGTGCACACAGCAGGGACAGCAGAGAACACAGCACTGCTATGTCAAGGCATTCGTAGAACTTAAGTGCAGAAAGTGCTCATCAGAGGACAAATGTACCCACTCCTTCTGTTGTTCTGCCACCTTTTCTGCCAAGCACTTTACCAGGACAGGATCTACTTTGGAGTCAATCTTGTTGGCAAACCAGTGTCCGTAATTCAGAAGCCACCTTAATTCTCCAGCCCCATAGATGCAGACACTGCGAAGGTGGGTACCAGTGCATGGAGGATACAAATAGTCTTCAAGATAATTCCATTTCACCAGACGAGTTTTGCTTTGTAAGTCTGTTACATCCTGGGATGACCTTGGAACTTCCCCAGGGACCCCGGGGACACGTACAAGAGTGGCCCAGAAATGTTCATCTGGAGAGTATGTGTCCCTTGACCACTCAAAAAAATCTTTTGCAAGTGAGCTTTCAAGGGTATATTGAATAAATTCTCGGCTTAAAACAAAATAGGCACTGCCTACAAATATCTCAATATCATGAGGTGGTGGATTCTTGGAAATGTTGGTTTTTACAGGCATCTGCATGTATTCATAAGGCACTTTCATAAGTTCATAGTGATAAGTAAATCGTTCTCTTTTGCTACTGCTTGGCTTTGAAGTTTCCAGCATGTTTCCTCCACCAAGTTTCTTCAGTTCAGCGACCAGTTCAAAATTTGATCTCAAAGGGAAATCTTGGCCACACAAATTGATAACATACTTCCAAGGAACTGGAGAGTCCATCAAATCAGACAAACAATTGAAATCTGCTTGCAGACGTGAAATATGTGCGTAGTCCACTGTCTCCAATTTTGATGCAATGAAAATATTTGGGAAACATTTAGCTAGATTGTTCAAAGCAGATTTGAAACTTTTTGCTGCTTTTTGATCATAATGGATGCAGTAAATATTTTGACGACTGTACAATGAATGTATGAGCCTTTCTACCATTGCTGCATCTTTGTGAACAACCAAAGAATAGGCAATTGGAAAACTCTCCTCCTCTGGAGAAACAGGTTTTAGCTGGTATTTCCTAAGTGAACGATACACATGACAGTCACTTGTCATTGCTACAACATCTTCATCAGCTAAATCAACTATTTCTTTTCTTCTTATTTCTAAACTCTTGCCAATTTCATGAGGATCTTGTTCATATATAGATGAACAATTAATTTCATACTGGAACTCATTTCTAGGGTATGAATATCTGTTTCTAACATAAGAAGAAGTGCTCAAGAAGTGCTCAACTAAGTAAATGCCTCTAGAGGGAAAAAAGTGTCTTTCGACATGGAGAAGCTTCAGCAGTGCAATCAGCCACCCAGTAACACACAGAATCAAGATCTTCCTTCGTGAGGGACATTTGTAGGACCACTTGTGTCTCTTCATTCTGCAAGAAATAAAGACATAGTGTTACTTTAAATCAGAAATCATCTCTGAAATCATCAGAGACCATTCCAACCTCTAAGAAAGATATGTGCACACCAGTCTGTCTACAGCATAAATACCACCTTATTAGGAAGGACACTGGTAATCTCTAGTTTCTTCCTAATCATAATTTTAAAATTTCATTCCCCTGAATTAGCTAAATGAAGGCAATAAACCAGATGATTTCCAGTCAAATAAGAATATCAGAACAAGACTCCCACTGCTTTTTTGTCAAATCTTTTTAAAATTTCTAATGAGCCACAAACTGAAGTACAGCAAACCCTGGATTGGCAAAAACATTGCAGTCATCCATGTGAGTAGGAAAGATTGTTTATTTTCCTGAGTAACTACAAGGCATTTAATGGGAGCAGCAGAGAGATGTCTTGTAAGTCTGCAAAGAATGTGTGCCTAATGGTAGATATTAGTATTGGTTTTTTGAAAAAGCATGAAACCGGAAGTTTTAGTATTGAAACATTGCATTCTCATTATCACAAACACTGGAGCTGGCTCATAAAGATGTTCAAGAGAAAATTAATTTCCTTCCTATCCTGTGCCAACAAGATCTGACAAGCCCAAAGTCTCCTTTGTCTCTTCAGATTCCTTCTGGAAAATACTTCTAACTTGCCATGAAGACAGAGGTGGATAAATACATAGCACTTTCATCCACTGGTATGAACATATAAAGGAAGTACCCTTCTGAAGGCAAAACGGGTGCAGTAGTAAGGAATAGTGCATTCGTCCTGCTCTCTGCCATGTGACACAACCTTGGATGTGACCACAAAAACACATGTGGCCCCTTTTTATACAGCATGTTATTTAAAAAGATTCCTGTGTAGCACATTAACAACTGAGTCATTACCACAATAAAAGCTTAACACAGAGATCCTCTTCCACATATCTTTGCTTTACTGGCTGAGTGTAACCAGCATTGTTCCCCAAATTAAAATTAGACCAGAATCACATAACAAGTGCACCAGTAAACTTAGCTCCACTTAGCTTAAACTAAACTCTACTTTGTTTTTAAATTGAACAGCTTCCACTGTTTTCTTTTGAATAGAAACTTTTCAGAGTGCTTCTAGAGCCAATAAAATGGTGAGGGCAGCAGATCTGGCTTAGATGCCTGAACATCTCACATATGTATGTAAAATGAAATACTGAGATGTGCATTCAAATATATTGCAAGACTAACTTGGGCATCTTTGGCATTCCCTTTGATGTCAGGTCTTGCAAGCTGTAGCTACATTCAAATTGCAGCTTGTCAAGGCAGAGCTTTTTCATTTGTCTCTTCTCCCTTGACTTTGCCTTTCCCTGTGCATCTTTGTCCTTAATATTTCTCTTCTAGGGCAACAGAAAGAAGGAAATGTTTTCTCCTGGGGGTTGCCAGGTACAGACCAGGGTCAGCCAACACATACCTATTTCGTAGAAACCAAAGCTCAGCAACTCTCAGTAGGTTTTAGAAACAGCTTCCAGGTATGCTAAAAAAGAAAGAGAAAAAACCAGATCTCATAGAATCATTGAATAGTTTGAGGTGGAAGGGACCTTAAAGATAATCTCATTCCAAAATCTCTGCCATGAGCAGGGAACCTTCTCCTAGGCTTGAATAATTCCAGGGATAGGGAATCCACAGCTTCTCTGGACAACCTGTTGCAGTGCCTCGTCATCTTCAAAATGAAGTGAGACATTCATATCCCTATGAAGCCAAAAATCCCATATTCCCCCACAGCAAGCAGGTGCTTTACTTCATCTCTTCTTCAAATTAATCCCAGCCCAATGTCTAATCTGGGTTTCCCCTTTACCTACCTCCCTTATGTATCTGTGATCCTGGAAAAAATCACTTTTGAAAACTGCTCCTAACCAAAGGCAGGTTTTCAGTCATATGAAAAAAAAAGCCCTGTAGAGGGGGAAACAGGTAACATGCCCTGGCTTTTTTCTTTGGAGGGAGAAGACCTATGTGGTGTGGCCTTTCTGTGAAGCCCACCCCATGCCTCTGCCCAGTGTCCCCCTGGCTAGCAAGGACAACACCTACCGCCCCTGCCTGAACAGGGATTGCCTAAATCAAGGAGTGAATTGTCTCTTATTCTCTCCTTCAAAAAGGCGAGTCTGGACAAAGAAAAAGGAGGGGAAAAATCCAACACATTCCAAACTTCTCCCTAACCTCTCCTATCTGTGTCAGCCCTGGCCAGCTTCTGCCCAGTGCCAAACATTCTGTTACTATGAAACCAAACAAAGTCATAGAATCTTAGAATGGTCCTGAGTTGGAAGGGGCCCACAAGAATCAGTGAACTACAACTCCTGGTCCAGCACCCCAGGAGTCACATCATGTACCTGAGAGCATTCTCCACCTCTGGACCATGGGAGTACTGAACTGTGTCAGGCTGGTGCTCTGTGACCCTTCCCTGGGGGGGCTTCCTCCAGAGCCCAGCCACCCTCTGGGTGAAGACTCTTTTCCTTATACTTAACTTAAACTTCCCCCAACAAAACTTCACACTGCTCCCTCGAGTCTTGCCACTGAGAAGAAATCAGTGCCTGTCCGTCTGCTTTCCCTCTCAGCTGTAGGTCACTGTGAGGGCTCCCCTCAGTCTCCTTTGGGCTTAATAGACCAGGGGACCTCAGCTGCTCCTCATATGGCTTCCTGTTCAGATCCTTCACCATCCTTGTGATCCCTCCTCCTCCCCTGTAGTTTTGTATCTCTCTTACACTGTGGCACCCAGAGCTGCCCCAGCACTGGAGGTGAGGCTGCCCCAGTGCAGAGCACAGCAGGACAATCCCCTCCCTTGCCCAGCTGGCCATGCTGTCCCTGATGCCCCCAGGACACGGGTGGCCCTCCTGGCTGCCAGGGCACTGCTGACCAAGTTCAACCTGCCATTGACCAGGACCCACTGGTCTGCTTCCACAGGGCTGGTCTCCCAGCCTTCTGCATCCCGGTCTGTCCATACATCCAGGCTTGCCCTGTCCCAGATGCAGAATCCAGCACCTGTTTTTGTTAAACTTCATATGATTGGTGATTTCCCAGCCCTCTAATTAGTTGAGATGTCTCTGCAGGGCCTCTCTGCCTTCAACAGCTCCTCCCAGTTTAGTGTCCCAGTTTATATCTTTGAGTTTATCTTGAGTTCTGTATCCAAGTCATTAGTGAAGATGTCGAGGAGCACTGGCCCTAAGACGGAGCACTGTGGAACCCCAGGAACCACAGGTGACATGTCACCAGCCTGATGTCACCCCATGCACTTAACCTTTTGTGTCTGACCCACTGCAAGACATATCCAGAAGGATCCTGTGAGAGACAGCATCAGAAGCTTTACTGAAATAAAAAAAGATCACATCATCAACAAGGTGAGCTACCTTGTCATAAAAGGGAATTAGTTTGTCAAGCAGGAACCTCCCGGTATGAAGCCATGCTGGCTATGACCAATGATTGCATTTTCTTTCAGGGGGTTTTCAATAACTCCCAGAATAATCTTCTCCATAACTTAACCAGGCACTGGAGTTATCAGGGTCATCCCTCTTGCCATGAATGAATTCTTCCTCATATCCAACCTGAACCTTTCCTGGTACAACTTAAGGCCATTTCTCATCCTGTTGCTCGTTGTCTGGGAGAAGAGGCTGACCCCCATCTTGCTACAACCTTCTTTCAGGTTGTTGTAGACAGCTGTAAGGTCTCCCCTGAGCCTCCTCTTCTCCAGGCTAAAAAAACTCCAGCTCCTCAGTCACTCCTCATATGACTTACTTTCTGAACCCTCCATCACCTTTGTTTCCCTTCTAAATCATTTATCAGTATAAAGGTAATTTCAGCAAAACCTGCAATTTCTTGATGAACAGTGAGAAACTGAGGGATTAAATCTCTTGGGATAGAAGAGATAGGTGCCATCACACACCTCATCAGGTTTTGACTCATCTGAAAAACTTTATTTTTACCACTGCAGACTCAAAGCCCTACTCAGACATGGAGCTGTACTGTACACACCGTTCTCTCCAGAGGAGCACAGAATGAATGAACAAGGCAGATGAGAACAGCAACCTACTGCTGTCCAAAGCACCTAGCTTGGGTAGCACTGACCAGATGCTAACTCTGGTTATCTTCCCCACAAAAGCTTTTTCCTTAGGGGATGCCATGGAATACACATGCAAGGTTCCATCTTTTGTATCAAGATTTTATATTATGATCTTATATTATGAGCTTGGCATTGACATCTGGCTTTGTTCTGCAAAATATGTTACTTGTCTTTTCTACATGTGAGAAGACTCCTGAGGTATGCTTGTTCCAGGACTTGAGGAGGGGAGGAGCCCCAGGTCTTCACACACTGTAAGACTTCTATCCAGATACTCCCTGGGTTCCAGGGAGCTTCCAAGGGCTTCCACTAGCCCTTTCATGAACCTGGGCTCCCAGAGAAGTCCTCTTCTCCTGCCTCTGCACCATCCTATTAATAAACCTCACAGATTTTACCTTGTCCATGGGTGCCAAAACCAAACACATCCGCTTGTATCTGATTAACAGATCCATTATCAGTTTATTATGTCAAAAAATCTGCATTTCCCTTATCACTAGTACTAGTAATGCAAAAAAAAAAAGAAAAAAGTCGAGGAATTGTCTCTCCCTTCACAAGGGCTGCTCACATTCAGAGAAGATGGATGAAGGTAAAGCATCCATCCCTCGAGACCAACAACAGCTCAGCCTCACAAAGACCATGACCTCACCTGCAACGGCTACTGTGTCAAATGTTTCTGAATCTGCTCAGGATTCAATCCCAAAATGAAAATGGGTGAAGTTGTCAGAAAAGGGAGGAAATCCTCTCCCCATGTCCTCAGGCTTCACATGGGAGGACTCTGACTTCATGAATGTGGTAGCTGGGAAGTGACCCAGCTAAAAGCTTCCAGTCATGAACCTCGGGCATTAATTGCAACTCTTCTGATTGACAGCAAGGCTCTAAGTGTGTCTTCTGTGATAATGAAGTTTAAAAATGTTAGGCAAGGGTAAGGTGTGCTGCTAACATCAGATGAACCAGGCTGGAAAACCCTGAACATGCTGCTCTCTGAACCATGTGAATAACTGAACGATTTTGCCTGTGATTGGCACTCCCAAAACACATGCACATTGCCTCAAGTCAATGAATGTCTTACAAACTCAATAGAAATACTTTCTGTTTCACTGTTTTCTGTTTGAACTGAACTGAGTTCTAAAAGAAATTCCATTTTGAATGAGAACGAAGTATTACAGAGGGCAGCAATCCACCTTTTGGCTTGTTTTACAGATTAGGGTATTTTCATCAAAATTAGGATAAATTAGAACAATGTTTGTTTCTTCATTTTTATCTTTTAATAACTAAAAAAAATGTTCTTTTCTGTAAAAATTTGTAAAAGCAACAGTGGGACTTCTGGCCTGCAAGGCAGACCCTAAGAAGGAGTGATGATCTGCCTACCTGAAAAAATATTCTGCTGTTTCACCTGAGTGCTCTGTAACTTTTTCTGCATTCTGATCTAAATACTCTGGCTAAGGCCATTGTGCACTATCACATATTGGGTATCAAGGTAATTGCAAAACTGAAGCTTCTGATTCCTCTATTATTTAGTTTTTATTATTAATAGTTCCATAACATTGAATACCTAAGATGCTGTGGAAACAATACCAACCAGTGTAGGCAAGGTTTAAATTGGTTTTGAGTGTGCCTGACAGAATTTTCCCTGTATTTACCAAATTAGTGAAAAGTGAACCTTATTAACTGTGCATCATCTCAGTGCTATGCAAAGAAATTCTTGTGGGCCCGCTAGGGAACTGCATATCAAGGTGGTGTTGGACACCTCATACCAGTCCAGCATCTTTTCCCTGGAGGGAAGCAGACCACACATACAGAAAGGGGAGAGAAGCCTTATCCACCTCCCCATAAACACACAGGAAAAAAAAAAAATAGGAATTGCTGTTGTTTTTAATTGGAAGAAGAACACAGCAGTTAGGTAAAACTCTACATTATGAGATGTGGTGGTCAAAATTGAAGAACCACATGTGAGCACATATATTAATTCATTGGGAATAACATTTTTTACAAAATATACCTCCATTCCTTCAGGGTAAAATCATGTTTAAACTATCACTCTTACTGAGAAACTATAGACCATCATATGTTGTTTCATGGAATTATAGAAACATAGAAATACATGGCTTGCAAGGGGACTTTTAAATGTCCAAATCTCCCACCATGGGTAGGAACATTTCCACTAGACTGCTTGAGGTTGTCACATAACATCTAGTCATACTTAATATTAGGAAGCAGAACTTAATGTGGTGAATCTACCCAGACTACTTCTAGATTTGGGCTTGAAAAAAAAACCAGCAGACAACCTGTTCTGCATCCTAGTTGCTCTACTATGCATGTGAGCATAGTAGAGCATTGCTCTACTATGTACCTTGCCCAGACTAAGCATCTGATGCACTCTGCAGCTGGTGGAAAGATACCAGGAACTGCAAAGGATCAACAATTCATCCCAAAACATGAACTGTGAGATGGGCTGGACAAAGCATCCCTGGAACAACAAAGAGAAGCAAGGAAAAAGCCCAGCTTTTGCACCATAAGTGCCAGCTCTGCCAACCCTGCTTGCAATGGCACAGCCTTGTTGCACCTCTAATGTGAGGAATTCCAGGGGTAGCAGTATCACACATAACCCTGATCCTCTGCCAGGAATACCCCAGCAGCTCCTCCATCCCAGAGTGGTACTCAGATGCAACGGAGAAAAGCCAAGAAGCTGCTCTGGCCAGTCCAGCCACTCAGTTCCAGCTCTCTGTATGCTCTTTAGAAAAGGCTAGATTCTCCTTTCCAGCTGCCTCCAGTGGCAATCCTCACAGTTTCAGTAAAATATCTTACATCAATTTCAGCATGTTTGTGTCCCAGAGATATGTCAAGGTAAGGAAAGTCAATGTCTCAGCTCTTTGGCCAGGAAAAGAGGCAAGCAACTTCTGCAGGGTCATGCAAGCAGCACAAGAGAGAATGTAATTCCTCTGCAACCCCAACTAATCTGAACTGCTTAACAGAAACTTTTCACAAAAGCTCTTTTACTGGAGGCCTGAAAAGTCTCTCAGCAAATCCCTAAGCATCCCATACTACTGTGTGATGCCAGTCAGAGGATTTGCAGCACTCTTAAAGCAGGAAAGTGTTCAGAAGGCACAGAGATAGTCAGTCATCAAAATTCCCAAGCCTGATGGTTATACATTGAGAATTTCAATTCTCTGACTTTGTGACATGGGGTTTCCATGCATGCCAAGTACATCATATACTACAAAGGCAGGAGTCCAGAAAACAAAGAAACAAAATCCCACTAACAAATACATACTCCAACAAACAGAGTTTAGTCCCTTCTAATTTGTCGCAATCTAGAGTTTAACAGCTTTTTTCCATTTCATATGGGAGTTTAAAGCATAGTACTACAGTGGAGAGAGGGTTAACCTTTAAACTATTGAATAACATAAAAATTAAACCCAAAGGGACAAAATTTGTGTTCATTGGCAAGGAGAAGCACTGTAAAAGAGGGTGGAAATTTCCTGTCAGACAGGGAAACAGGAGAAACTGCATGGCACTGCAGAAAAGCTCCCATTAACAGCTCAAAATACTTCTCCATTTCCTTCACCCTACCACCAAGCTGCCTGCAGACTCTTCTCTGCCGAGCCCCACTGTAAATCACTCTCTCTAAGTCATTTCACCCTGCAAAGTCACAGCTTGTCACATCAGTAGGACCTCATCAGAGAGAGCTGCAGACCTACCTCCTGGACTTTGCTGCGGTCTCTTCCCCTCTTTAGGATGCTCTGTCTCTGGAGATCAATATGGGTACTGCCAGATCAGTGGGCAAACCAAGTCCTAGTGTCTGCTCCATCCTGCCACTGCCAGCAGCCTCCACCAGTATCAGTGCTTCACGTGCGTATGAAGTCGGACATACAGAAGTAGTAGGGATGACATTATTTCTTGCACAAATTAAAAAAGAAAAGTGTAAAATGTTAGCTGAAAAATAGTGAACATGGAGGCTTGGTGTGTTAAGTCCCAGGGGTGGCTATGGCTGCAGTTCTGAACTAATAAGCCTCTGCTTTTTAGCTGGTTAGCTGGGAAGGTTTTATTGTTATTAAGCTGTGGAAGGCATTATCTGTATAAGAAGCATTTATTCTTGTTTACTCACATAGCATTTCTAAGCACCAAGAAGGCAGGGAGAAAGGAACACCATAAAAAGAAGAGATCACATCAAAGCAACCTAATTTCCTTTTCCAGCAGAGTAAAGAGGACTTGGGGAGAGGCAGAAAAGCACTGGGACACAAGGAGTCTGTCAAAAGCCTCACCAAGTCTGAGATGCATGTAATAGTTCAGGTACCAAGACTCCAGGTGTGAGAGGCCTTGCTCCCTCCACAAATAAAATAGCTCTGACACTAAGCTAAGGCCAGAAGTTTGGGCCACTGTTATGAGACCCACAATCCTCATGATTCTTCCTGAAATTCTCTTTAGATATGATGGCTTGCATAGCAAGTTCACCTACACATAAGTACTTCATATGGTATACAAAGTCTCCAAGGCAAGAAATAAATTTCTGGGCTATTACATCTAACTTTTCTCGGTGTTATGCTTACAAAGAAATTTGTGGAATTAAACACTGTACTATTTGTGTATACCACAAACAACTATCATCATATTCTCCCTCAAGGAAAGCACTGCAGCAGTGTTCCTAAGGCATATGTAGCATTGTCCTCCTCTCCATCCACTTTTGACCAAAATACACACACCAGCCTCCTCTTCATCACCAGTCTGCCAGATGATACAGAATTATAAACTGCACTTTTGTGACTGAAGTGTCACAAGCCTGAGTGTCATAAGCCCCAACAGGGCTCTGGGTGTCACAGATTCAAGGGCTCCTCCAGTCCTGCCTTAGCTCATTGTCCCCATCATTGCAAAATTATACAGAAATATCAGTATCCAGATTCCTTCATATGGAATATTAATACTTAATATTGGCGCACTCTGTTTGTATAAGATGCAATGTGGCAAGACAGTAGCTGGGTCAACTTTACCTCTTTTCTGGATGATGGGAGGGTACCATGGTCAAATATATAATGTGTTAGAAATTGATTTTAAAAAAGTTAAGAAAATGGGACATTTTCTGTGAGACAAAAGCTCCCAGCACATGCAAAACTGAAAGAGGTCTGCAGACAGCTATGCATCTTTTGAGTAAGATTTAGGATGCTGATTTGTCCCTGCTGGGAAATCAAGCATGAAGAAAGACCTCCCCCAGCAAACAACAATGCACCACAAAAACACACACAGGCCAACTACACTCCACAGTCAATTCAAAAGGAAAAGGTCTTTGACTGGCCCCAGGGAATCCTGCACAGGCCATGGGCTAGCTACTTGACCCACCAGACAAGCCATGCAGCAGTTGGGTATTACAACAGAGCCTGTTGCAGGAAGATGGGTGGATCTCTGACAGGCTGGTATCTACCCCCTCACCTGCCTTTATCTGGGTTGGGGCAATTAAAGACCTCCTCTTTCTTCACAGTTGTCTCTCTTGTACTAAAAGCAGAGTGATCTCTGCCTCGTGCCTGGTCACACTGCAAACCCTGGCGAAGCCTTCCTCGAGTGTTTCAGGGAGAGCCTGATGAGGCTTGACTTGTTGACAATTACGCAAAATGTACTCCCTTGCTGGATTCAGCACCCCGCTGTTTATGTTGCAGAAATGAGCTTTTTATGACTCATCTGGTACATTTCTTAGTTCCTTTATCAATATTTCTTGGAAGACCTCAAAAGCTGGAGTCACCATATGACTCCTGATGACTCTGTAGCTGTAACTGCTACGTAAATGCTTTAAGCTTAATTCCTCTGAACTTACCTGGACTACTCATTTCAGATACAGTCTCCTGCGTTTCAGCAAGGCATTTATAGGATGGTCACAGCCAGCCTGTTGACTGACTAGAATAATTTGCACATATTAGGCCATAAAATAGCATGCATAGTATAGGTTAAGAACCACAAAACTTACAGAACCTGGAACATATGCAGTTTTCAGTGTATGGATCCCTTTCTTGGGGGTCTGACTACCCAGGGTAATAACACACAGAGGTGCCAACCCAAGCAACTGAAATTTGAATGTACTCCTTATCACCATTACTGCTTTTCAGAAAGTTATAATCCTTAGGAATTACTAATTTATACTACACATATGTCAAAATGCATTAGCCAGGTTTGCTGGTAATCTTTAAATGCCTTTACAGCTGGGCAGCATACAGAAAAATACATGGAAACTGGGCCAAAACCCAACACTATCAGATGTATAAAACCAGAAACCACAGTTGTACAAATGTTGTAGCATTTCACTTCCCTTTCTATGATCATCTCAGAAAAGCTATGTGCATGAAAGAACAACCACATCATATTCATGGAGCCCATCCAGCCCAAGATGTTGTCTCATAGTACTCAAGAGCTGATGCTTGGAAACAGGAGAAAAAATGAATACTCTTTAACATCTCCACATGTCCTTTCCAGATCCATTTCCTTACAGCTTTGAAGTTTTCAAAGACAGGTTACAAATGTCTGTTTCTTATGAAATTTCGAATTCTTTCATCCAGTCATTTTTGGACCTACATAAGCTTTCCGACTTGCAGACACCAGGGAGTGTGGGGGTGGGGGGGTAACACACTACAGCTCACTTGAGTATAGTGTAAAAACCCACTGTCTTGTACTTGTTTTCAATCTCCTGCCTCCCAGTGTCACTTGACTGTTGTAATTCTCTGGCTGAAAGAAGCAAGCCGCTCTTTCCTGTTAATCACCTCCACATCAGTAGCAAGTTTATCTACCATCTCTACCCCTCAGCTGTTTCTCTGACAAATAAGCAAATGCAAAAGGATTACTACTAAAAAAAATCATTTATGCAAAAAGGCTACTATTAAGGAAACATGCCTATCTCAAAATGAAACAGGTTGGTTTATGGATTAGATATTTGGAATGAGTCAGAGGATGCTCAGTGGAGCAGATCCTTAGGTGGGACACAGTGCAAGTCCCCCATAAGGTCTTCTTTTTCTAAGCCTTATTCTAGCATTAGTAAATCTGTTCACCCAATAATAAGGGACAAGCTGCTACTGTCTCTCTTCAAGAAAAAAAGAAGCTCTGCCAGGTTCTTCCTATTGTTACTTTCTGTTTCTTCACAAGGAAAAAGAACCTCTTTCCATAATAAAGAAACAACAAAGTGTACTTGGAAATTTGAACACAGCTACATGAACATTCTGAACAATTTACTGGGAAACGAAAAAATGCCAACATCACAGCAACCCCGATTCCCCCTACCAAACCTTATTTTAAGTTGGTGTAACTGTTGATTCTGGAGAGAAGGTTACGAGGCTACGACATCTGGGTACACCGCTTACCAGCCGGGCGGCGGGCAGGTGGGTGCCCCGGTTCCGGACACCCGCACCCTCTTACTGAGACGCAAAATCCCCCCGTAACTAACTTTTGTTAAAGACAAACAGCACCTTCTTACCGGAGCTCTCCCCCAGCACCGGCACCGACCCTCCTCCTGCTGCTCGGGCCGCCTCCAGCGCCGCGCCCGGCCCGGCGCTCTCTGCCCCGCGCAGCGCCGCCCGCTGCGCTCCCGCGGAGTCGCACAGTGCCGCCCTTTCCTCCTTCTCCTCCCAAACTCCGCCGCCACGGCCGAACATCGAAATTTGCGCCTACAGCGAAGCCGCCGGGAGCAGGGCGGGAGCTGCTGTCGCCCCAGCGTCGCTCCGCGAAGTTAGGGCTCAGCTTCGCGGGCCGGGACGTCTCGTTGCCGCTGTCCCGGGACGTGCCCGCCGGTCGCGCACTCACCCGAGCGGATCGCGGCCGTCCCGGGCCGGCGCCCGGCTCGGCTCCAAGGGGCGCTCTTGTGTGCGCGGGGCGTGTGATGAGTGTGCGGCACAGCATTTTCCTCCATGACGTGAAGGAAAAAAGAAGGGCAGCCGCCCGCCCCGAAACCTGGCAGGCAGCAAGAGGAGGACGAGTGGGAGGTGACGGTGAGGTCCCCGCCAGCACCTGGAGCGGGAGGAACCCGCCGCCTCCACGCCGCCTCTCCGGCAGACGCGGCACCGACTTCCCCACGACTCCCCATCGGGGGCGGAGCGGCCGAGGAGCTTCCCAAATACTACAGCCGGCTCGACCCGGCGGCAAGATGGGGCTGGGCCTGGGCTGGGGACTCGTCCCCAGCCCAGGCTCCTTGTCCTCTTCTCGGCTGCCCCGGGAGCGCACAGCTGTGGAGAGGGAGGGGCTGCTGCGGTCCCGGGGCGGGTGGGCACCAGGCGCGGCAATAGCTGCAGCTCTGAACTAATAAGCTGCGCCCTGGCATTAAGCCTCTGCTTTATAGCAGGTTGGTTGGGGGCGTTTTATTGTTTTTATTTAGCAGTGAAATAACCTGCCGCTGCACTGGAATACTGCAGTTCCCCAACCGCTTCCAGGATAAGGCCGGTGTTTTAAGGTCAGGCCGAGCTGCTGGCTCTGCTCGCAGAGAGCCTCAGGCCCTTGGTGCACCGGCTTGGTGAGAAATGTGGAAGACGCCACAGCACTGGAGAGCATCTGTCTGCTGCTGTAGCGCTGACCCTGCAGCTGGGCACTGCTGTGACAGCTCAGTTTACGGCTGGTAATTGCATAAGCCACTGTGACCAAGTTATATGTAACTGGGTGTTGGCGCTCTCTCCACAGAAATGCGTAAGTGAAATCGGAAGGCCACAGATGCTGGAAAACTCACCTGTGGATTACTCTGCAACACAAGTATTGGTGTAAGTGGTAAAACCTCCTGCCACAGACAAAACCAAAGCTTTGTTTTAATAAAAACAAACAAACACCCCAACAAAAAATCCCACATCCATAAAAACATAGAGATACAAAAGTCACTTAAAAAGTTATTTGAATCCTGTTCTGAAGTCTCATTCCTTAGAAATGTTTGAATCCCTTCCTGTGTCATGTTTCTCTTGATATGGCCAGTAACTTAGCACTTCAAATGTCAGATCATCCACATAATTTCCTACCCAACTAGCTAACTAATAACTGGTGATAAGAATAAAGGGCCCAAGTCTCATGTAGGCAGTTGCTCGATCTATTGATTTGAACAGAGTATTTTCCTCCAGTTTAGTATCGAGGTTTGAAGACCAGAAAAAAAGTCTTTATATCATCATGACAAAACACTTGCCAACTGCAATTGCTTCAAGAATTTATCCAAACTCCTATGGCAACATTATTCATCCTTCTTCCTCCCCCTTAGCTGCATTTCCACCATCAAAACCCCAAGTAGTATTGCCTTAGAGTACTGTAAATACCTTTCACAAGCTAGCTTTCATTCCCATTATTCTCTTCCCTGACCTGCTCTGCTTTGCTTGGCAAGAAGGTGAAATGTTTTGTGTTGATCCTCTGCTTAGAATGACTAGCTCTCTCTGCACCTGCCTTTACTTTTTTCCTCTTCTCCATGCGTTTCCCTTGCTTACAGAGTTTCATGACCTCTGACCTGTTACTCAGGAGGTCACACTGGTTCCTGCTGGCCTTAAAATCAATGGATGGATGTATATTGTCTGCCTCCCAGCTGCTTATCTTCCTCTTCACTCATTCTTTTGTTTTGAATCTTGCATTCTTCCTTACTGGTATTAATCTCTCCACCGATTTTTTTTTAATTCCATGTCAGCAATAAGTAAATAAATAACTATGTGGAAATATGAATCTGAATTTTTGGCTTTTTGCATCACCTTTTTATCCTTTTATTCCCCATGTGAATAATAACAGCAGTCAGAATGCCAGGAGTTTTGTCTTACTATTTGCATTTTATATTCTTTTTTACTTTAGCCTGCACCACATGAAGTAAATGCTAATTCACAGCCTAGGAGTGGAGAAGAGGTCTACTAAATAAAAGAACTGAATTGTGAAAGCAGCAGAAGGGGCTGGGAGGGGGACCTGCCACTTGTGAGTAGAAGCTTTGTTACTCTGCTGCAGTTAGCATCACTAACAGCTGCCCATCTTTGACCGGTGACAACCACTGATATTTTTATGCAAAGGTACACTTAAAAAGCATAAATTTAAACTGAGAAAACATGGTGGTTAAAGTTTTTTCTCTCTTCATGGATCTTTACATTAAAATCAAAGGACTCCAGCAGGGAAATTAGAGAATATTCACAGTTTTAAGATTTGGGGAGCAGAATCCTACATTTGTTAGTCACATTAAGCTATATGTTGTCAAGCTAATGCCTTTCTCAAGATGCTTATATACAACTGAAAAACTGAAAAAGGCCTCAGTGGTAGATTAGTTTTACATACAGCATCTGTAAGAGACAGTGGTTTTCATGTATCACTTTGCATTTTTACCTCTTTGCTCAGCTTGCTCATTTAATTTTCTGTCACTGTATCTTAGGATTGCCTTAGGTGATGTAATCACATTAATATAATAGACCAAAAAAATGTTGTCAAATTCTCCTGGGTTTTGTACATTAATTTTATTAGACATCTTGCAACAAAGAAAAAAATGTCAAACAAACATGTAATTCAGAGGTCATTTTAATAGTCAAATACCTTTTATTTCTCAGTGAAAGCGCAGTATTTGAATGAGCACTTCCTTTGAAACAATATGCCTTCAGGTTTGTTTTGCTGCTGCAGTTGTGAGAACACTCCATCTTCTTTCTTTGTGAAACTGACTTTACAAAATACCTGTCACTCAGCAGCTTTTACCTTTTCTGACTTCCAGGCCACTGGCATTTCTTTATTCTTTACAGCCCATCAGGCTACGACTGCTCATGCATCCTAGGGCATAGTACTAGCTCTCTGCATATCAGACACCTCTCACTTCCCTAAACCAACTTCTGTTTAAGACACTAATCAGATCTTTGCAGAAGAGCTCTTCACACTCCAAAATAGCTTATTATGTATTAACAGGAGATACTTCCCATCCTATTCACTGGAGTTAGGAGTAGCAGGTACTATTATTCCATCTCTTCTTATAATCCAAAGAACGAAAGAGCAGGAATATCACTTGAATGCAGATAACTCTCTTAACAGTCAAAACTTACAAATATGCTGCTAAAGCAGATTCAAACATTGTAAAATTAAAACAAAAGAAATCCCTCAGAGATTGGGATGAATATCTGAGATGCTGTTACCTGGAAAAATTCGTGTTCCACAAACAGGCTAATTGCATTTCCTGTCATATGCCAGCACATTTTCTGCCTATCAGAGAGATTTGGCTGGAACATGAATGGAATTTTCCTGAGCACTTCCAACAGCTAAGATTCTTCTCTTAACCTCTCTGAGCACTTATTCCTCTTCTCAAATGTTTTTTATATATATATATATATATATACGTATATGTATATATACACCACATAAAGCAATACTGATGATGATTTCCAAGGCTGCTCATCTTGATTTTTTGCCTAACCTAACAATTTACGTTACTACACAAACATGCGCTGCCATTTCTGATAGCACATCCTCAGCCACAGCAGTTCCAGGTTTAGGTGTAAGAAGTGACTGTGAGTGCTGATGCCTGTCTGTTTCTGTCCTGTCCCAGCAAGCATGGGCAGTTACTTTAATCTGAAATTAAAACTTAATTTTAAAAAGTTCAACTTAAAAGTAATCAACATGGAATATAATTCACAATGAGCATCAGTGTGTAAATCCTATCTATTTCCCCATTTCTTAATCTTGCAGTACAAGAGTAAATATTACTTAGTTCTATACAGTTATCTTTGCCTGCTACTAAGTACTTCCCTGTTCCTCACTTACCCAAACAAATTTTCCATCATCCCAAGTGCTGGACAAATAATTTATCAAAATGACAGCAGCAAAGTACTTAGTTCTAAAAGCTCAAATGTTTACTTTTAAGTGATGGAAAAGAAAAATGCATTAGCACGCAAGAAGTCTTTAGAATCCAAAATCTTTGCATTCTTTGTAGAAATTCCAGTGCTTCTCCATTGCAGAGCATGGTAGAAACTCCTCTTTATGTGCCATTACTATCTCATGGAATTGAAGAAAATGTGTCAGGCTTTCCACTGAGTTGAACTGGACAGAAGAGCCTGTTGAAAATGAATGCAAATGATTAATGGAAAGCAGTCACTGGCACTATTACCTAAAAAGGTATTTGCAGTTTGTCAGAACCTTGCAAGTCTTAGTGATCCCTAAGAATCTGTAATGTGCCCTAGGAATCTTGTGGGGTAAGACTTATGACATCTTACCAGTATGTCTCACTCAGACCCAGTCCTCAATGAGACAAGGGCCACACTACACCTCCTGGTGCCCAACCTAGGAAGCTAGCCATCCCAGACGTCTCCAATATATAATAGGAAAATGCAGTTGTTCTTCAGTACTGCTTAAATTTCATGTAGTATATCTACAAAGAGGCATGTTCATTGTACTTTCCCAAAATAAGGAATCTCTCACAGAGAATGCCTGTCCTAAAATAACTTAGTGAAAAGGTATAAAGTGCCGACATGTACAGAAGAAATTGCAGGACTGAACATATGTATTTTCAATATTTGAGTATCTGCTGGACTGACTTAACTATTGCAATGCATAAATTTAAAGCACTTTTGTCAGTACAGTAGAAGGTGAACTTTTCTCACTGTTAAAAAACACTAACAAAGTAACATTGTAAAGATCCACCAGTGAGAAATATTAGAAGACATTGATCCATAACAATACAGATTCCAAAATGCACTCGGAACTTCAGATTTCAGAGTTACTTGCTTTCATACATCTTTCATCCCCGCTTTCTCCCTTCAGTATCCTTGCACAAAGTAACACAGCTTCTGAGCTGCCACAACCAGCCCAATACAGAAAACTGCCACCGAGGGCACAACTGTTACACATAGCAGATAGTGTCAAGAGAGAGAACTCTCATGAAAGTGGAGATGGTTTCTGTTTAAAAACAAACAAACAAACAAACAAAAAACAACAACAAAACCAAAACAACAAACCGCAACAAAATATTGTGTCCAAGCAACATTCAAGTGTCCTCAAGAAGCAAACCAGGATTATTTCAGGATTATTAGATGAGTCAAGATAAATCCTTGTGAAGAGGCAGAGAAAACATGTTTGCAGTGACACCAGTTAGCCAGTTAGCTTGTGCTTATTACTGGGCTATCATATGCCACCCCAAGAGTCTTTCTTTGTTACTACCACTTTTCATTTCTGTCATCTACACCAATTCAAAGAAGCAAAATAAATTCACTGAATGGACAACATCATTGGTGCCAGTGCTAAAACAAACAGTGCCATATGCAGGGACTAACACCTGCAAATGGCACTGTTTGACCTTTTAATTCCATGTCTTGGTGATGATTTCCCTGCCATTTCCTGAGTTCCAGGAGCACACCACCCAAAGCCAGCCAAGTAGCAAATTGCTACTAGAAGAGAGAGGTTGGTGTTCAGAGGTACAAATAGAGTCTTGTGTGTCTTACAAGCTCAGTGCATGTTCAGTACACATAACACAGTACATAATGGAATAAAATGTATGATCTGATATCTGGAATATATTTAAGTATCACCGACTGCAACAAAGATGGGCAGGCTGCATATCAGACCTATGCAGAAAGTTACATCACAACGCTCTTCACGCTTATGAAGCAGCAGTCAGTCACACCAGAAGAAGCCAACTTACACACTCCTTTAGAAGTGATGTTGTAAAGGTACAAGGAATGCTTGGATAAAAATACCCACTTTGATGTTTTCTTCCTGCACTTTGCTGACTTTAACTCTAATCTCCTTTTAAAAGACTGGCAGTTTAGAGCTGTAAGCAGCCAAGAAAGGTTCCTGTACTGTTATCCAAAACTCAGTGCCTCAGGTACAGAAGCAAACTTAGTAAATTTAGACACACAAGCAGGGCCTTTCTCTGCTTTTCCACCCTTGCTGTCCCATTCTGTCAGCCTTCTATCATCTTCAGGAACAGCAAGATAAAGTATCAATATCAGAATGAGAGGTTTTTTTCCATAAATATGGGGAAAACACACGTTGTCTCTTGACAGCTTTTCCATCCTGCTTATCAATATCCCTTCTGTCTTTGAAGGCATCCATTTTAGTCTTACAGTTTTGAAACCATGCAAATATTTTCAACTTGTGTTTCTATTTTGTTGCATCTCTAGCAGTCCTTGTCCGCTGTGGCTGTTATGAATCTGAAAATTGTACTTAAGGAGAATTTCCATTAATGGCTACTACACAAATGTCAGACTATAATCTCTAGTTGCATAAGCGTTTGTCAGTGAAGAGAAAATTGTCACTTCAGTGCAGAGTCACCTTTTTCTGATCATTCAAATAGCTCCTGGAAGATCAGGCCTTAAAAATCCCACTAGTATCTACCGTATTTTTCCCAAGCAAGAAAGTACAGGAAGTATCCAAAAACTGGGTTATGTATTTTACAATTATCTTACTGGTGTAAATTATCTGTAAAATAATTTAAATGCTCTTGCAGTTTAGTCAATATATTTGAGTAAATTTACAGTAAATCCAGTTTAAATGCTACGATAAAACACATAATGATGATTATCAGATCTGAGGGAAAGATGAACTGATTTGCAGTATGTGGCAAAGCCACAGGAGACTTTATTCTTTTGAGACTCAAAAGGATCTGGTTCAGCACAACTAGCCTAGACACAGGCTACAAATGCGTAAACAAAGAGAAGATCTAAGAACAACACACTTAAAGGTGACAGCGTTTGATCTAAACTGCCACAGCGGAATATTAATAGAACAAAAATCTGTCTTAAGTGCTTTCAAGTTTCTTGGGCCTTATTCACACTCCCCTCAAGAACTTAGAAAAGATCAGTCACAACCCAAGAGTTCCAACAGGCATTGTCTATTCAGACCAAGTAAGGCCTCAGAAATGAAGCCAGCAGTTCATATAGACAACATTTTTGCGCCTTCTGAATCTTTAAAGAAAGGCTGCTACTGGACTGAGGCACAATAATTCTGCCCATGCTAGTGACAATTTTGAAAATAACTTTTCTTTTGGATTAAGTGTTCCCATTACCTATTACACTGAACCTGGACACTAGAACCTGGATTAACACCTGAAATTTAATAATTAAGCTGAAAAGTTCACCAGGGCAGTTCAACACGGTACTGGTTCATTATATTCTACAATTATTCAGGAAGAAGAAGAAATCTCAGTTAGAGGAATATGAGCTTTTGTCAAGTTTAGACCAAAACTAAAGCTTTCCTATGCCTTATTTCCCTTTAAGCCAGACACACGGCCTGGTACATAAAGCTCTTTTTCTCTCCTAAGATTGGAATATATCAATGGTTTCGGTTACAGACACATCAAGAACTTACTTCACTTAATATTTTCCTGAGACTTGGCTGAAAGCAAGTAACTGCCTTTTGTGTTCTTAAGGTTTTTAAAAATTGGCATTCATGATGTATCAAATGGAAAGAAAAGCTGGTCGAGACCTGGTATTTTGGAAAAAGAGATGTGTGTGGACAGATTGCCATTGTAAGACCAGAACTTTATCTTACAAAACACAATATTTTCCCAGTAATTTAATTTTTTTTTTCCTCTAAATGCATTAACTTTTTTCAGGTCTCTCCAGAGTTCTTGATTCACTTCACATGATATAGATGTCAATTCTTTTTTTCTCTTTTAAATGCTGGAGTCCACAGTCTCTGTCCTTACAAACCAATCAGTAAGGAAACATCTTCTAATGAACAGATTAATCATATCAGTCAGACACCTAAAGTTAAAGTGGTGTCCACCCACTACAAGATACAGGCTAGCAGAAATTTTGACTAACTGCATTTTGATCCTTTGTGTTCATCTCCATCCCAATGCTGAAAGTACCTTTTCCCCAAGAATTAATCTATCAAGTGACCTAAATCATGCACACTGCATTTTTTGCATTGATAATTACAGAAAAAAAATCAAAGGTTATTTATAGCATCATATTAATAAATAAATAATTTCAGTTTGGAAGCTCCTTAATGGACTATAATGACCAGGTCATTCATAGAACAGCTATAACAGTGTCAGAAGGACATAGAGCACCTCCTGATAGTACCTTAGTTTATGGTTTCTTTCTTCACATATCATCCATGATGAGTCATGGATGATCTATAGGTTCAGTTCACCATCTGCCTATAACTGAAATCTGTATAGCAGTAATGTGGAATTTAATTCATACTTTCACAATTCATTATTTCATTCCATTCCTTCTAGATAAAATTGTATATTTGAGAAAGAAACATTCCTTTCTCCACTCAATAAAGGATAGTATTCCTCAGAAGTTCAAGGTCTGTTTATGTATATTGGCAAAAGCAATGTCATAAAACAGAAAAAATACTAGGTGTTTAGAATGATTCTTTTTTTTAACTGCTCCATAACAGTGGCCTTTCTTGTTGCACTGTGTCTGCATAGTAAAAGGACTTGCAGGTATGATTAGAGACCAAGTATTCATGCCTTTTATTCTAAAGCATCAGTTTCAATGTTTATGCTGAATTCTTATATTATGTTTCATATGGTAGAAAGTATTATTCCCACAAATGAACCTAAAGATGTTATGCTTTTTCAAGACACACAGTTAATAGTTCATCTGTTTCTAAATGTCTGAAAAATGTACAACAGCAATACTGCTTTACAGGCTTCTTTAGAGCATTACCCAGATAAGTGATACGAATATATTATTTTCCATTAACCTTATGCCTACATCATGTTCTTATATAGTAACTGTTTTTTTCCCTACATATCCTGGGGTATAGGGCTGTTACACAGTAACAAATGCTTATTATGTGACATATACTGAATTATTATTTTTCAGGTACCTTGGTGCATCAAGATATTGTTACATTATTCATTTAACAAAGTGTCAAAGTCAAGTCTGCCAATGTATTGTAGAAATCCAGCAATGTTTCAATAGTCCCTCAGGGACACAAAATGACAATTTACATCTTAGTAGCTCTTTTTTGCTATAGATGTAAAATGATTTTATCCCCAAAAGGTGAGAGAAGTATAACTGACATACATGCCAATACTGACTGAGAACTATGCACATCCTCCCATAAAAGAATCTATCTTCAAGACTGAATTTAT